CTGTGAGTGGAGGAAGCGCTGTGGGGGACGCGAACCTTCAGCTTCCTTTGGAACGGCAATGACGCCCCTCAGGGCTCCCTCGGGAAGGGCCTTTGAAGTACATCCTTCCTTCTTCCAGAACATGCAATTCCTAGCAGCTCCTTCGAGAGGACACTGGAACCTCCCGAGCTCCTCTGACCTCTGGGGAATGGGCAGGCTGAAGGGAAGAGGATGAGGAGGAAGTCTGGCCCATCAAGGCTGGCCAGGAGCTGCAGACACAGTGTCTGGGCTTGTGTCCAGCTGTGTCTGCACCCCAGTACTGTCGGTACCAGAGCCCTGGAGCATCCTCTGTCAGACCCGTTGGCTGTCTGGGGTGCTTAGGAAGGCACTTCTGGCTTCCCTCACCCAGGGGTTTCTGAGGATGTGGAGAGGGGGGGGATTACTGCAGGTGCAAGAGACTGGGTTTGGGCTTGGTGTCTGCACATGTTCAGTTGGCAGGTGAGGTGAAGAGCTGCATTTTGGTTGTACCTGTGGCTTTTCAGTGCCATGAGAACAGGCTGGGATGCTGCAGTTCCAGCTCCAGGTGGGAAATTTCCCACCTTTCCCTGCTATGCATTTCCAGTAGAACTTTTCCTCCAGTAGCAGTAGATAAGGTTTTGCTTAAGTTGAAAAAGGCCTTTTGGTGCACTTGAGGTGAGCTGGGACCTCAGCCAGGTGTAGATTGCAGACTGCTTTGAGTGCTGCCCATAAGGTGAGTTGGAAACCTCATGGATTTGTTTCTCTTTCTTCACAGAGCCTTCAGCTACGCCTGAGGCCTCTGTGCCATGGAGGAGTCAAGGTTACACATGGATCTTGATTGTTGCAGGTATGTGAGACTCAAGAGTGCTGCACATGGTCTTGGACCTACCTACCTTGGCCTATAAATTGAATATCCTGATGGGATCAATTCCAGACCTCTATTGGGAGCTGCTTTTTCTGCACTGAGAGGACTAAGGGAGACCTGACACCACAGCTTAAGTATTGCTGTGCCTTGGGTGTGATGTGTCCTTGGAAAGGCCATTCCATGCAATCTGGCACTAGCTTACCTCCTCTCTGTCTGTCCCTTGCCCTTGGGGACGCTGCTCATCTCTGCTTGCTGGCTCATGGTGTTGAGCAGCAGTGCTCTGTTGCAAGAGCAGAGCAGTGAGTGGGTTTCTGCTTGTGCACTCTCCTCTCTAGGGCTCCTGATTATCCTGGTAGTGGCAAGTTCTGTTGCTGCGTGGGGTCTGTCCAGAGCAAAACGCAGATCTGACACCTGCAGTCTAGAAAAAGCCTCCAGGGAGCAGCTGATGCCTGGCAAGGGCCAGAAAGGCTCCTTGCCCTGAAGGGTAAGTGTTTTTTGCATCCCATGTGCTCCAGGGAGAGGGAGAAATTTGTTCTTGCCTTGTGTTTCTGGCTTCTAGAGCTTTCCCCTTGGAAGGGGGGTAGGTTTTGGGGGTTAAGTTTTCCCAGCTTCCCTGATGCTTGCCAACCAGGGGCATGGGGTTTTGGTGTGCCCTGCAACAGCAGAACTCTCCCCTTTCCTCCCTGCTGCCAAGGACATGGAGCAGTCCTGCTGAGATACTAATCTTCTAGTGTGGGACTTTTTCCCTCCACTTTGCATAAATTGAATTCAAACTAGGTTTCTTCCCAAAGGACTGTCAATAACCAGGTGTTTTTCTGGCTTTGTAACAGGGATCCTTATCCCAAGGTGATAAGGTGAGACTAGCCTGGTCTGTCCCCTGCTCACCACAGAGCCTGACTGAATTGGACATCAGCTCTCAAATCTGGCTTGTTACACTGGAATACCAAGAGGATACTCCCTTTATGAGTGGTTCTTAGACTGTAGGACTGCCTTGGCTCCAGAAATAGCACAGGACCTTCCCTGGCACTGTCCATCAGCCCCCCCAAAGGTGTCAGAAATGCCTTCACTGTTCTGCATGACAGTTGTTACTGCTGATGCCCACCACTGTGGCCTTGGACTCAAAGATGTTTTTCTCCTTGAAATGCCACATGCTCTTCAACTGTCTCCTTCCACTTCCAGCCAAGAGCCTTTTGTCATCCGTCCCATTCTTCCCCCTGGATTTTGTCAGAGAACAGGAACTTTCTCACCTATTTCCAAAGGCACTCACTGGCTGCACAGGTCAGACAAATACTCCATGTTTGCACTACTGTTTGATGCTGCTCAGTCCCCTGCACGAGAGGCTTTTCCTGACAGTGCCACCGTGGGGGTGACAGTTGCTCTGGCCTTGCTGTGCTCTCACCTGAGCCCATGTCGGGCAAGGCGCTCCTGGGCCCTGGGCTGGCAGCTCCTTTCACACTCCCTTCTTCCACATTTTCATGCTTGGCAGACCCGCTCTGCCCACCCCAGTGCTGAGTGCTGCATGGGGCTTCTCTTAACACTCTTAATGGCATCTCCTTAGAAGTGTTCTGACATGAGTGGTGTCCCTCAGGGTCCGTACTGGGACCAGTGCCATTCCGGGTTTTCATCAGCACGTAGAGTGAGATCAGGTGGACCCTCTCTCAGAGGAGATCCCAGTGTGAGGATGAGACCAGGCTGAGGAGTGAGCTGGGGAGGGGGATGTCATCTGGAGGGACCTTCAGGCCCACAGGAACCTCATGAAGTTTGATGCGTTTGCACTTTTGTTAGGGCAAACCCTGGACAAGAGATGGCTCCGGGGAGCTTTGTTGTGTCTTGTCCATGTCTAAAGGGGGGATTGTAAGAAAGATGGAGAGAGGCTTTTCACCAAGGCCTGTAAGGACCAGGGGCAGCAGGTACAAACTGACAGAGGCCTAGGTAGGACACAAAGGAGGGTTTTATGGCGATGCCCTGGCTCAGGTTGCCCAGAGCAGCTGCGACTGCCTCATCCCTGGGACCAAGCTGGACAGGGCTCTGAGCATCTTGGTCTAGTGGAGGTGTCCCTGGAAGTAAGCCATGTCCTTGGCCAGGGCTCCACGTGCCACTCACACAGTGTCTGACCCAAGGACTGATGCTGTGTATCTCAGAACTGACTGTGCAGGGGCAGATTAGTGCCCAGTGCCTCTGGTTCAGCATTGGCCACGTGTACCTTGCACAAGTGATCACTGAGAGCGCCAAGCTGCTGCCTTGACTGCTGACCTCTGTGCCTTGAAGGTGGGAGCTTGGCTTGCCAAGCAGACACCAGTCACCAGCCTTGGAGTAGGAGTCTTCCGCTCCTGGATAGTGTGAGTGCTGCCATACCCCAGGGGAGTAACTTCTATATGTGGTGTGGAGTCCTGAGTTATTCCAGGGCTGCTATTTTTAGTACCAAGGAGTCATTTGCAAGGGCACACACAACCTTCTGTTTCCAGGGACAGACAGAGATAGCTGTGGTGACTGACAGAGGAGAATAAAGAATGTAAAATTAACAGTTTCTGGAGTTTTTATTTTTCCTGGATATTGGGCATTTGCATGGATTCTGTATTTGGGAGGCCGGGGGCTGTATGACCTTTGGATCGTCACATCGTGGGAAAGAGGGCTTGGGGTGGGTGGGCTGGCATGGGGTGCAGTGAGGAGGCCATTGCTGCTGTGCCTGCCTGGGACAGATGTGACTCCAGCAAACACCAGCTGTAGCAGAGAAAATGAAATACAGGAACAAAGCAAACAGAGAGGGTGGGGACAGAAAGAACAGATGCCACAGAGGCACCTCTGCTGCTACTGCTGAACTGTGGACAAGCAGGGAGCTCAGCCAAAAACAAGGTGAAAAAAGTGCCTGAACTTGTCCCTTCTTTGCCAGATCAGAACACGAAGTGGGAGCACTGCAGGGCAGGAAGGGCTCCAGGAGTCCTGGCAGGACTGGGCTGAGCTGGGGCCAGTTGAAGCGCTGGTGCTGGCAGGGCCATGTGGCCAAGGTCAGCTGTCACCAGCCGGTCCCAGATCGTGCTCTGAGCTGCAGTGCCGAGCCCAGCCCGGCTGCTCTGTGGTACAAGGCAGAGTGTTCCTCCCTGCCATGGGGACTGAGGCCCTGGGGCAAACTCACAAGACATTGCAGGTCTTACTTTCTGCTCGCTGAGATGAGTGCTTCAGGGGTGAAAGAAAAACATTTTATGGATTTGTGCCAAAACTCGGGGCTGTGTTTCTGACAGCAATTTCCCTTCCTCTGTCCGGTGCTGGAATTGTTTTTGTTGTTCTAATCCCCAGGCTCAGAGACTTCAATTGTAGTGGAGCCCAAGCTGCTTTTCAGGCCAGGAGCATCTTTGTGCTCCATGTCTCTGTATTTAATTAGACCAGTTCATGGAGATCAGTGTGATGTTTTACATGTTGAAGTAGGGTCATGTTTCAGGATAAGGCCTCAAAGATCAGCCTGCTGAATTTTGGTTCCCCTTTTACTTGCAAATCCAAAGGATTATTTCCTCCCTTTCAGTTCCAATACTTCAGAGGAACTTTTACTGCCTACTTGCATTTCCAGTGTCCTGTTCCCTGTTCCTGTCCCTGCCTGGGTGAGTCGTGCAGCTGAAGGCTGATGTGATGGCACAAGGCAGAGACACAGCAGCAGCTTGTCCCTCAGGGAATCTTCTCGGACACTGTGGAGGTGGAAGTGGTGCCTTCACCTCATCCCCTCTAAATCTGCACTGTGGGACTTGAGGGATGAGCTGAGAGGTCATGACCATCTCCCTTTCCTGGCTGTGACAGCTGACAGCCGGGGCAGCTGCATTAGCCTTTAACGAAGGGCTGGTGCCAAGAGCAGCATCTGGTGTGGGGACACAAAGCCAGTACAAATCCTGCATGTCTGCACCTTCCTGTCCCATCAACAGGGGGTAAATTGAGGCAAGTTTGTGCTGTTTCCAGTTTGCTGTCATGGATGTCCTTCCAGGACACAGCATCCAGCAAATGCAAGCAGCTAACAAGAACAGAATAAGGGAAAAGAGAAGTGCAGTGCTAGAAATAGTTCCTTACATAAAGCACTAGTGCCTCAATCTCATTAGTGTCTTAAGGAGCGGGCGCTTGGCCGCCTCCGAGTGCTCCGATGCAAACCCCAATCAGATCAGCAATCGGCTTTGGGACCCCGGCAGGTGCCACGTGGCACTGGGACACAGCTGTGCCCCTCTCGCTGCCCCAAGCCTGCAGCACCGTCCCAGTCAGCGTGTGGCCATGGGAGCGTTCCCATGAAGGCAGAGCTGCTGTCCTGTGGCCGGGAGCAGGAGTCACCGCTGCGGGAGGCCGGGCACCATGAGGCAGCAGCGCGCCCGGCGCGCGAGTCTCGCGGCCAGCCTCAAGATCGGGGACCACCGGGGCCGCTGCCGGAGCCCGGAGGAAGAGGAATCCTACATTCCATTTGCACAGGATAGCCTGGTAAGGCAATGGAACTCCATGCAGAATGTGGCAGATGGTAGTCAGGAGAAGAGCCAGACTCCCATTCAAAGGAACAAGTATCTGCTCAACATTAATGTGGGTGGCAAATTGTTCCAGATAGCTTACAAGGTACTTGCCCAATACCCCATCACCCGGCTTGGGAAGCTGGCGCTCTATACAGACCCCGTGAAGAAGCTGCAGCTCTGTGATGATTACTTGGTGCAGAAAAATGAGTACTTCTTTGATAGAGATCCTTCAATTTTCCACTACATCTTCCACTTCTACCGCAGTGGGGTCCTGTGGGTGATGGATGAGATGTGCCCCAGTAACTTTGTGGAGGAAATCGAGTACTGGGGAATCCATTTGAAATACTCCCAACGCTGCTGCCGGATCCTGTTAGAGGAAAAGCGAGATGAACTCAGTGAGTACCTGAAAATAGAGAAGGAACTGGAGGCAGAACTGGAGCCCCTGGAGTCAGGGACGCAGTTTGATGGCAAGTTTCTGGGTCGGTTTCGGAAGATGGTCTGGAACCTCATTGAGAACCCGTACTCTTCTGTCCCAGCCAAGATCATTGCTGTCATGTCGAGCTTCTTTGTGCTTATCTCCATTGTGGGCATGACTCTGAGCACAGTGGAGGAGATGAAAAACAAGACAGGGAAAATGTGGATGGAGCAGATGGAGATGATCTGTGCCATCTTCTTCACCTCTGAATATCTCATGAGGCTCATATCCTCCTCCAGCTTCAAGAACTTTCTGCGGGCAGCATTTAATGCTATAGACCTGGTGGCCATCCTGCCCTTCTACATCCAGATCCTCTTTGAAAATCTGGATGATGGAGAAATGCAATACCATGAGGAGCTGCACAAGGTGGAGAATGTGAGCAAGCTGGGCAAAGTCCTCAAGCTCATCAAGCTCATGAGGATCTTCCGCATCCTCAAGCTGGCACGTCACTCCACTGGCCTCCGGGCCTTCAGCTTCACCATGCGCCAGTGCTACCAGCAGGTCTGCTGCCTCCTCCTCTTCATTGCCATGGGGGTCTTCACCTTCTCTGCTCTCATCCACTCGGTGGAACATGATGTCCCTGGCACTGACTTCACCAGCATCCCCTGCGCGTGGTGGTGGGCAGCGGTAAGGTGGGAGCAGCTTCTGGGAGAGGGGCTGGGGGAGGCTCTGCAGGCAGGGGCTGCCCCAGTGCTCGGGGATTCACCGCTGCTGCTGGGCACGAGGCAGGAAGGACCCAGCCTTCCCACCTGCTCAGTAATGGTGGGAGTGCCCTGGTGCTCTGAGAAAAGGAGTCCGAGGTTTGGACTGAGCCCAGAGGCTCAAAAGCTGGTGCTGGGGTGGGATGGTGGGACAGAGGTGGTGCCTTGGGAACCTCCAGGGCTGAGTTGAACAAGTGGGATGTGACTCAGCTTTATCTGTCATGGGACCCAAGTGTTGAATGGATGCAGCCTGTGGGTATGGGGACAGCCACCCTAGACAGCCTAAGGCCTGGGCAGCATTGCAGCCCCTCTGAGCTCAAGGGACACAAGAGCTTGTGGGTCTGAGATGGGGAACCCATGGCCAGAGTGTGACTATGGCTGCAGGCAGCACCCACAGTCACACTGTGCCTCAGCCCATGTCATGAGAGTGGACACAGACTGGACACAGCTGCCCATTCACTGCCCTGCTTGTGCCAGGAGCTGGCAGCTCTGCAGAGCTGAGCACTGTAATAAACCTGGCATTACCTCCGAGATGGGGAGCAGCTAAAGCACCTGAGAGCCACAGGTTATGAGAACATTTTAATTTACAGATTAAATGATCCCACAGATCACTTCTGCTCTTATAATCCCCTTTGGCCATTGAAGGCTATCTGGTTCAAATTCATTTCTCCTTGAGGAAGAGCATCATCACCAGGTTCAAGCATTTGAACATCCCTTTCCCTGGGAGCACAGCTCCCTGCCAAGCCCAAAACTCTCTGGCCTCAGATCTCACCCTAGCCCTGCTCCCCATTTCCTAAACATGATTTATTCCCAGGCAATGCTTCTGTTTCTCCTGGAGGGAGGTTCCAGGAAGCTTTGTTTGTCTGGGGCCAGGCAGCTCACAGCCAGGAAGCTCTGGAGCCACGGCTCTGAGGGGGAAGGAAGCTCCTGCAGATGCTGACTGCTGGGGAAGGCTCAGTTCAGGGGTGTCCAGCTGCCTTTGAAGAGACACACACAATAGCAGTGAGGGAGCAGGGTGTGGCCTCTGATCTGTGTTTCTTGGGTTCAGCCAGCCCTTTCCTTCATCTCTGCAGGCCTGCTGGGCACAGCCTGGACAGTGGAGCCCTGGCCGTGCAGGTTCTGGAGAGGGGACAGCTCAGCTGGCTGCATCAGGATCAGGGTCTGGCACTGGTCACAGGGTCAGGTGGCTCCACAGAGGGGCAGGAGGGAGTGAGTTCCAGCACCAGCTGTTGGGGTCTGCTGGGCTTGTTCCCATGGGGTTTTATCCTTTTCTGTCCCTGCACAGGTCAGCCTCTCCACTGTGGGCTACGGAGACACTGTGCCTGACACAATTCTCGGCAGGATGGTGGCATTCATCTGCATCTCCTTTGGCATCATCCTCAACGGAATGCCCATCTCCATCCTCTACAACAAATTTTCTGACTACTATGCCAAGCTGAAGGCCCATGAGATGAGCCAGTCACTTCAGCTTTCCAGGAGGATCCAACTGAAGCAGCGAGTCCTGCGCAAGTTCTCAGAGTGCTGGAGAGCCGACCCCCGCTATTACCGCTGAGCACAGGCCCCCACCCCAGACATCCCCTGTCCTGGCCATCCTCCCTGTAGCTCCTGTCCCCCAGGGAGGCCCCAAGCTGGGGCTCTGCTGCTGCACAGGGGCTGCTCCCAGCTGGGACCTCTCTCACTGCTGCTGCTGGACAATGCTGTCCTGCAGAGCGGTCAGTCAGGGCTGTTTGTCTGCCCTGGGCTGAGGCAAGGGCACCCTGACATCACGGGGAGTGAGGATGGGACTAAAGTGTCACCTGTGTGAGGCAGGTAGCCCAGTGTGACTCATGTGCAGGTGCTGCTCCATTCCCTGCTGAGTGGGACACACACAGGCTCCCCCTGCCCAGGGCCCCGGGACTCCCTCCCAGCCAAGAAGCCCAGGCCTGGTCCAGTGTGGACATTTGAGTGAAAGCCCAGAGGAAAGGCTTGCAGCCATGCATCCTTCCAGCCAAATCTGCTCTTCTTCCCACTGCCCTGGAGTTTGATTCCTGACTTGGGATGCTGCTGTGATGGGACCCACAGGCACTATAGGCACACAGAGCTTGTAGCCAGAGCACCCCCACGAACAGGATTTAATAAACCAGGCCCAAACCTTCATTGTCATGGATTCTTGTCCAGCCACTGTGTGTGATTCTGTAAACTGCTCATCATTTGGGGTGAGGAGGGGACATCTCCCCAGGGCTCACAAGTCCCTCAGTGCAAGGACAGGGCTCTGTCCATACATTAGTTTTGGAATGAGGTACCTGGGCCTGGGTGCATTGGAATTGGAGCTGGGATGTGCATATGATCAGGACACACCAGTTGGCTCTGCCCTGTATTCACGTCATGGGAGGCAGTGAGGAACATATCTGGGGGGGCACAGGGTGAGGATTTGCCCTCCACTGTGTGACCGTGTCCAGTGAAAGGGCTTCCTGAAGGGATGTACCCTTCCCTTGGGTGAGATGGAGAGAGGGTCCTCGGGCTGCACGGAGGGTTGGCATGGGGAAGGGCCAAGAGCTGCTGCTGCTGCTTCCAGGTGAGCAGGGGAAAGAAACTGGTGCCAGCCAGGCCAGGGTACAATTCACTCACTAGTGAGCTGGAGATGCCAGGGAGACTCCTGGTATCAGCCTGTGGCTGTGGCTAAGCTGCTGATGTTGGGAGCTTGGAAAGAGACCTGGAGGAGCTGAGTGCTCTGGCAGGGACAGACACACTCCTACTGAGAGCTGGGCTGCAGGGGACAAGGGGGCTGTGCCACCAGGTGTGAGGGGACCCTGTGCTGAACACCAGCACCTAAACCCACTCCCCAGTAACCCACACTGACACCCACCCTCTGTGCACCTCCCCACCACTGACCTGACCCCACAGCCTTGGGCGGCTCTGGTTCCACCCCATTTCTCTTCCATGAGGAACATTCTCTCTGGTCACAGCAGTTTCCTCTGACCATCTTCCCCCAGAGCTCTCCTGCCCCACTGTCCTGGTTTCAGCTGCAATATTGTTCATTTTCTTGGCAGGGGCTGGTACAATGCTGTATTTTAGATTCAGGGTGAGAATATTCTTGATCACACACTGATCTCTCAGCAGCCAATTGCGGCTAGGAGACAGGCTGGGCACAGATCAGTGGCTGCTGAGCAACTGGGTATTGGGCATCATTTGTCTGTCTTGGGATTTATGACTCCCTCCTTATGGTGTCTCCCTTTTCATTACAAATATTATTAAATATTACTATATTTTATTTCCATTATTGAATTTTCAATTGGGTGTCTCAACCCAGACGTTTTACCTTTTCTTCTGGTTCTCCTCCCCATCCCACCAGGGTGGAGGGGGAGGCGAGTGCCTGCATGGTGCTTAGTTGCCACCTGGGGTTAAACTTCAACAGCCACCACTCACCTGCCCCTGCAGCATCATCTCCAGGCACCTCTACAGACACCCCCATCCCAGCCCAGACCCCATCACCACATTCCCCCAAGCACCTCCATCACCTGCTCATCTCCCTGCACCCCCAGCTGCAGGCTGATGGTCCTGAGACCGTTCAGCTTTCAAGGAACAGGGCACACCCACCCCGTCCCCTTGCCCCTGGAGACTGCGCTGCAGCTGCATCTTCATCCCTCCATGTGCACGCCCTTCCCTGTGCCTGAGAGATGTCTCCTTGCCCTGTTCCTGGCAGCAGTTCAGAGTCCACAGGCAGCCTTTGGAGAACAGCACTTTTAAATAGTTGCTCTGAATTAATTTTACAAGTCACAGCAATGCAGGAATGTACAGACATTTACAGGACATTGTACAGGCAGTTTCTCTCATATATTAGTGCTCTTGCTATATACATATAGTACAGCCTGCAGGAGCCTCCGTGTGGGCAGAGACACTCATGGCCCTGCACAGGGCACCCCAAAATGGAGCTGCGGCCCTGGGGCTGCTGTTTCACATGGGCTCCTTCAGGTTGGCTTTATCAGAGCTTGGCCCTGAGCCTCCCCTGGCTGGCCCTGTCAGGGGGTGACACCATCCTGGGCAGGCCCAGCACCCTCTTGCTTTGCTCGGCCCAGTCTCTTTTAGAGGGTTTGTGGGACAGAGACCCCGCTGGTGCTCCGGAGGGAGCAGGTGCAGCCCCACTGCAGCCCCTGCAGGTGTGTCCAGCCCCTGCTCCTCCTGCCTCAGTGGCAGCCGCAGCTCCCGGCCACCATGTCATCGTACTGCTTGAGCACCACGTTCTCATCATCGTCGAAGTAGAGGAGGTTGATGGAGAAGAGCTTGTCGGGCACGCAGCAGGGGCTGCTGACGCCCTCGCTCAGCTTCAGGGCATTGATGATGGACTGCACTGTGGCGTGGTTGGTCGGCCGCATGTTCTCGCCCAGAGGGAAGGGGCAGGAGCCTTTGCAGTGGAAGGCGTTGTACCCCCGTGGTGAGATGATCCAGTCAGACCAGCCAATCTCCTCAAAGTCCACGGACAAGGGATGCCTCTGGCAGGGCTGGAGCCGGCCCAGCGAGCGTGTGCTGCGCGACCTGCCCGGCTTGGGCGCCGGGAGATCGGGAGCCTGAGGCGTTGAATCTGTCAGAAAGGAGCATCCCATGTCATTGGCCACTGCGCGAGCTTGGGTGGAGAGAGAAGATACTGCAGCCCCCCCAGCCACCCCTCCCCACAGGTTTTGTCTGCAACCCTCTGGTCACAGCCTGTCACCAGCCCAGACAGAGCCAGCAGGAGGTGACAGCCTCAGTCTCACGGCCAAACTCAAAGCCAGCTTCACATCTGCAAGCAGGCGACACCCCTGAGCAGGCTACACCAGAAAGGAAAGAGCCTCTCCCAGCAGCAGGGAAGGAGGTTTGGATTTGAGGAGCCCACGTGTGGGGAGCACCTCCTGAGAAGGGATGTTGGCACCGAGGGAGTGGTGCCAGGCGTGTGGGACCCACCTGGGAAGCTGGCTGTGGGCAGCGATGCTCCGCGGCGCCCATCGTCTGTGAAAAGCACCAGCATGGGCTTCTTGCTCTCGTGGTGGCCCCGGCCAGACGCAAACTGCAGTGGTGGGGGGTCCAGTGGGCCCTCCCCCCAGCTCTGGACTGTCACCAGCAAACCCTGGTTGCTGCTTTCATCTTCGGTCCAGTCGCGAACCTGGGGAGCCAAACCAGTGTCACCATGGGCCGGGACAGGCACTGCGGTGTCCCCACAGGCAGGTCCCGGGACAGCAGCAGGACATGGTGACCCGGGACCCCTTGAGGCCACACTCTGTGTGCCGCGGGAAGGGATTGCTCCGGGCTGCAGCACAGGGGACACTGCGGCAGGAGCCGGCACCAGCACACCCTGCAGAGCAGTGAGCCAAGTTCAGGGAAGGATGAAGCAGCCCCGGGGCTCTTGGCAGGATTATTTCCTCCCCCTCCCAGAGGATGTATTCCCCCCATGTCACTGCAGAGACTACAGACAGGAAACTACACTGGAGCCTGAAAGGTGAAAACAGAGGAAAAGTGACTCACAGCTGGTGTGATGGTAAAGACCTCCCAGCCCGAGGTTTGCAGTGAAACAATCCGGGCTGCCAGCAGCTTCTTCCCTCCAGGGGTGTCTGGATTGTCTTTCTCCAGCACCTGGTACACACTGACCTGGGGAAGGCAAAGGTGGTCACCCCGGTGTGCTCTGCCCAAGGGGTTAACCCTGGACAGAGGTGTGGGGGTAGATGGGGAGTTGTCAGCATGGATTTGTAACAACCTTGGTGTGCCTTTGCTGATGTTTGCATAAGCCAGAAGGATATTTAAGAACCTGCCGCAGTTAAACCATCATGATTCTCTGTGAAACATTTGTTCATGTGATCCTAGAGCCAGGCTGTGTTCCCATTGCAGGCAAATGAATGACCACAGTGTGCCAGTGGCACCCCCGGGCACAGGCTGGGGGACAGCTCCATCCCCATCCCCATCCAGGTCCCTGTCCCCATCCCCATCCAGGTCCCTGTCCCCATCCCTTCCCCTGTCCCCATCCCCGTCCCTGTCCCCATCCCCGTCCCTGTCCCCATCCCTGTCCCCATCCCCATCCCTGTCCTCACCTGGCAGAAGTGCTGCCGTTTGGGCCCATCTGTGACATCTGTGACCCTCGGCCAGAGGCGGAAGAGGTGCAGCTCTGCCGTGAGGATCTTCTCGTTCTTGGCCACGCTGGAGAGGACGAACAGGAACCGCATCTCCTCGCTGTGAGCTGGAGAGAGGATGTGCTGAGGAGAGCAGAACCAGGGGCGGCTCCGCCACCGGCCGCGTTCAGCCCCTCCCCACAGACGCTCCCCAGCCCCTCGGGGACGACCCCCGCCCTTACTTTTCTCCAGGAAGCTGCGGACGGTGTTGCCCTCCAGGATGTCGGGGTTCTTGGTGACACCATCCGCGTTGGCGACACTGTTGAATAGATCCACCATGTACTGGGGCGGCTGCTTGGAGTGAGTTGGAGGGGCTGGCGGGTCTTCCATGCCAAAGACTTCCAGGAGCTTTTTCAGTGCCTCATCCCGCCGGATGGCCACGCTGGCAGGGCCCGGGCTCGCCGTGTGGGCCAGGGCCAGCAGCAGCAGCACGGTCCGCAGCATGGCTCTGTGCTCGCTGTCCCTGCACCACTCCCGCGGCCTCCCCGGCGCTGCATTTATAACTGGACTGCACTGAAATATGCACAGGAGCAATCAGGAGGGTAAAGAGAGCTAATTGCCGTGCTAACAAGGTGAGAAGCCCGGCTCCCGGGCCCCCTGCATCAATTAGCCCCAGTACACAAGCGGGAGGCAGGACGGCTCACCAGGCTCTCCCAGGCTGGCAGGGACACGGGGCTCTGGGGCCAGCAGCCCCTCGCCAGGGCCTCGGCTGGGCTGCATTCGCTCTCCGTAGGGGACTAACTGGATTTTAATGACGGCACTAATGGGACAAATCGGAGCACCTTTGTGTGGAGGAATGCAGCCCATCAAGATGAGCATCCCCTGCCCGGGCCGGTCCTGCCCCTCTCAGCCGCGCTGAGAGCGAGGATCGTGGC